TGAAGGATATTCCAAATTTTGGACCCCAGAAATTGAAGAATATTCCCAATTTATGTCCCCAGAAATTGAAGAATATTCCCGGTTTTTGTCCCCAGAAATTGAAGAATATTCCAAATTTTTGACCCCAGAAATTGAAGGATATTCCTGATTTTTAAACCCAAAAATTGAAGGATATTCCCAGGTTTTTGCCTCAAAAATTAAAGGATTTTCCCAATTTTTTGCCCCCAAAATTGAAAAATATTCCCGGTTTTTGACCCCAGAAATTGAAGAATATTCCCAGGTTTTGACCTCAGAAATTGAAGAATATTCCAAATTTTTGACCCCAGAAATTGAAGAATATTCCCAATTTTTGACCCCAGAAATTAAAGAATACTCCTGGTTTTTGCCCCCAGAAATTGAAGAATATTCCCAGTTTTTGACCCCTAAAATTGAAGGATATTCCTGATTTTTGGAAATCCAAACTCAACCCAAAAATTGAAGGATATTCCCAGGTTTTGAACCCAGAAATTGAAGGATATTCCTGATTTTTGGAGATCCAGACTCAACTCAGAAATTGAAAGATTTTCCCCATTTTTAAACCCAAAAATTGAAGGATATTCCCAGTTTTTGACCCCAGAAATTGAAGAATATTCCAAATTTTTGACCCCTAAAATTGAAGGATATTCCCGGTTTTTGACCCCTAAAATTGAAGAATATTCCTGGTTTTTGACCCATAAAATTGAAGGATATTCCCGGTTTTTGACCCCTAAAATTGAAGAATATTCCCGGTTTTTGACCCCAGAAATTGAAGAATATTCCAAATTTTTGACCCCAGAAATTGAAGGATATTCCTGATTTTTAAACCCAGAAATTGAAGGATATTCCCAGTTTTTTGCCTCAAAAATTAAAGGATTTTCCCAATTTTTTGCCCCCAAAATTGAAAAATATTCCCGGTTTTTGACCCCAGAAATTGAAGGATATTCCCAGGTTTTGAACCCAGAAATTGAAGGATATTCCAAATTTTTTGACCCCAAAAATTGAAGAATATTCCTGGTTTTTGACCCCAGAAATTAAAGAATACTCCTGGTTTTTGCCCCCAGAAATTGAAGAATATTCCCAGTTTTTGACCCCTAAAATTGAAGGATATTCCTGATTTTTGGAAATCCAAACTCAACCCAAAAATTGAAGGATATTCCCAGGTTTTGAACCCAGAAATTGAAGGATATTCCAGATTTTTGGAGATCCAGACTCAACTCAGAAATTGAAAGATTTTCCCCATTTTTAAACCCAAAAATTGAAGGATATTCCCAGGTTTTGACCCCAGAAATTGAAGAATATTCCTGGTTTTTGACCCCTAAAATTGAAGGATATTCCCAATTTTTTGACCCCAGAAATTGAAGAATATTCCCGGTTTTTGACCCCAGAAATTGAAGAATATTCCAAATTTTTGACCCCAGAAATTGAAGAATATTCCCGGTTTTTGACCCCTAAAATTGAAGGATATTCCCGATTTTTAAACCCAAAAATTGAAGGATATTCCCAGGTTTTTGCCTCAAAAATTAAAGGATTTTCCCAATTTTTTGACCCCAGAAATTAAAGGATATTCCCGATTTTTGGAGGTCCAAACTCACCCCAAAAAGTTCAAGGATATTCCCAATTTTTAACCCCCCAAATTCCAGAATATTCCCAATTTTTAACTCTAAAAATTCCAGAATATTCCCAATTTTTAACCCCAAAAATTCCAGGATAATTCCCAATTTTTAACTCCAAAAATTCAAAGATATTCCCAATTTTTAACCCCAAAAATTCCAGAATATTCCCAATTTTTAACTCTAAAAATTCCAGAATATTCCCAATTTTTAACCCCAAAAATTCCAGGATAATTCCCAATTTTTAACCCCAAAAATTCCAGAATATTCCCAATTTTCAACCCCAAAAATTCCAGGATATTCCCAATTTTTAGCCCCAAAACACATGACATTCCCAATTTTCCTTACAAACAGACGAGATCCCAAATTCCCAGCGGATTTTTCGGGATTTGGAATTCCAGATTTTTCGGGGAGAATTTTCGCGGATTTTTTTTTTTTTTCTTATTTTTTCCGATTTTTTTTGGGATTTTTTTTAAATTTAAAAATGAAAAAAAAAAAAGGAAAAAAAACCTTGGAATTCCCTGTGTTGGTTTTTCCTTGGAATTCTCTCTCGTGCTTGGATATTTTTTTTGGGAGAATTTTCTTTATTTTTTGTTTAATTTAACCCCAAAAAATTCCAGATTTTTTTAACAAAAAATACATTTTGGCCACCAAAATTTTATTTTTTTGGGGGGGTATTTTTAACAAAAATCGGGAATTTTGGTGGAATTTTAGGGAATTTGGCTTGGGAATTTTGAAGTCAAAATTCCCTACCTGCAATTTTTGGGATTTTTCCCAATTTTTTTCCCCCTCCCCCAAAAAAATTCTGCCGGAGGGGCGGAAAAACTTCAAATTTAATTTGGATTTTTTTCCCTTTTTATTTAAATAAAAAATTCCTGGAAAAGCCTGAATTCCTTAGGATCTGAAAATCCGGGATTTGGGATTTAAACTGATGAAAAACCCGGAAAAATCCGTTAAAAAGAAAAAAAATCTGATTTTTTTCACTGCCAGCTCCGATTTTTTTACCGGAATTTGCATGTTTTTTGGGAAAAATGGTTTTTTTTTGGTTGTTTTTTAATTTTAAAATATTCTTGGAATTCCCAAATTCCTCTTTTCCCGTAGAATTTGTGGAATTTTGGGGTTTTTTTTTTTGCTTTTTTTTTTTTTTTTTTTTTTTCCTAAAGGAAAACAGGAAAAAAAATAAAAATAATTAAAAAAAAATAATTCAAAAAAAAATCAAAATAAATAAAAAATTAAAAAAAAAAATAAAAAATTATGGATCAGCTTGGAATTGTACAGGAGTGGAAAACACGGAATAAAAACAGGGAAATGGATTTATAAATAAATTGTGTTTTTATTGTGGAATTATAAAAGAAATTCTTTTATTCCCGGTGGGATTTGGGTGGAAAAAAAAATTTTGGGGCTTTAATTTAAAATTTAATTAAATCCTTCGAGGTCAAAATTGGGATTTTTTCCATGGAAAATTCCTGGATTTTTTAATTCCTGGGAATGGGGGAAAAAAATTCCATTTTAATTGGATTTTTTGGGGGGTTTGGTTATTAAAATATTCCAAGATTTTAGTGAAATTCCCTTTTTTAAATTGAAATATTTCAATATTTTATTAAAAACTTCATTGTTTTATTAGAAATTTCATTATTTTATTGAAATATTCCAATATTTTATTGGAAAGTTTATTATTTTATTGAAATATTTCATTATTTTATTGAACTATGTCATTATTTTATTGAAACATTTCATTATTTTATTAGAAATTCCATTATTTTATTGAAGTATTTCATTATTTTACTGAAATTTCATTATTTTATTGAAATATTCCAAGATTTTATTGAGATTCCAATGTTTTATTGAACTATTTCAATACTTTATTCAAAAATTCATTATTTTATTGATTTTATTGAGATTCCAATGTTTTATTGAACTATTTCAACATTTTATTCAAAAATTCATTATTTTATTGAACTATTTCATTATTTACTTAAAATATTCCAATATTTAATTGAAATATTCCAATATTTTATTCCAAATTTCATTATTTAATTGAAATATTTCATTATTTGATTGAAATATTCCAACATTTTATTAAAAAATTCATTACTTAATGGAAATATTCCAATATTTTATTAGGAATTCCATTATTTAATTGAACAATTTCCTTATTTAATTGAACTATTTCATTATTTCATTGGAATATTCCAATATTTTATTGAAATACTCCAATATTTTATTCCAAATTTCATTATCTTATTGGAATATTCCAATATTTTATTAAAAACCTCATTATTTTATTAGAAATTTTAATTATTTTATTGAAACATTCCAACATTTTATTCAGAAATCCATTATTTAATCGAACAATTTCATTATTTAATTGAAACATTCCAATATTTTATTCAGAAATCCATTATTTAATCGAACAATTTCATTATTTTATTGAAACATTCCAACATTTTATTCAGAAATCCATTATTTAATCGAACAATTTCATTATTTTATTGAAACATTCCAATATTTTATTCCAAATTTCATTATTTAATTGAAACATTCCAATCTTTTATTCCAAATTCCATAATCCCAGAATTCCCAGGAATTCCCAGGTCCACTCAGAGCACCAAAAATACCCAAAAATGGGGATTTTAACCCAATTTATCCCCATTTTTCCCCCCTCAGTTTCCAAAGGAATATTCCCGGAATTTTCTGGAAAAAGAGCGGGAAAATCGGATTTGGGGAAAATTCAGGGATTTTTTGGGGAAAAAATTCCCAAAATCCTGGCCAGGGTTTAGGAATTCCCGGGATCCATCCCAAAAAAGCTTTTCCCACCTCAAAAATTCCAGGATTTTGGTAAAAAAACCGGGATTTGGAGCCGCGGGATTCCCCAAAATCGCCGTTTTTTTGGGATAATTCCCACATTTTTTGAAGATTCTCCAAAACCTTTGGAATTCCCGGGATCCATCCCCAAAAATGACTTTTCCCACCTCAAAAATTCCAGGATTTTGGTAAAAAAACCGGGATTTGGAGCCACGGAATTCACCCGGAATCGCCGTTTTTTTGGGGATAATTCCCACATTTTTTGAAGATTCTCCAAAACCTTTGGAATTCCAAGGTTCCATCCCCAAAAAGGACTTTTCCCACCTCAAAAATTCCAGGATTTTGGTAAAAATCAGGATTTGGAGCCGCGGAATTCCCCGAAATCGCCGTTTTTTTCAGGATAATTCCCACATTTTTTGAAGATTCTCAAAAACCTTTGGAATTCCCGGGATCCATCCCCAAAAACGACTTTTCCCACCTCAAGAATTCCACGATTTTGGTAAAAAAACCGGGATTTGGAGCCGCGGGATTCCCGAATTCCGGCGTTTTTTTGGGTAAGAATTCCCGTTTTTTTTTTTTTGGAGGAATCCCCAATAACCAACGGACACGGATCGCTCTGGAAAGGATGGATTTTATTCCCAAAAAAAGCTGGATTGGGCCATTCCGGAGGGGGAGAAGGGCCGGGAGTGAAGCGAGGATTCGAGGGGGACGGGCTGAGGCCGGAGCAGCTCCCGGAGATCACTCGAAACCGCTGGAAAAACGGGAAAAGGGGGGAGAAAACGGGGTGAGAGGGGCAGGGGAAACACCTGGAACAGCTGGATACCCCCGGGAACACCTGGATGTGCCTCAGGAACATCTGGATACCCCCGGGAACACATGGATACCCGTGGGAACATCTGGATGTGCCCCAGAACAGCTGGATACCCCCAGGAACATCTCGATGTGCCCTCAGGAACACCTGGATGGGCCCCAGAACATCTGGATACCCCCGGGAACACCTGGATGGGCCCCTGGAACACCTGGATACCCCCAGGAACACCTGGATACCCCCTGGAACATCTGGATACCCTCGGGAACATCTCGATGTGCCCTCAGGAACACCTGGATACCTCTGGGAACACCTGGATACCCTTGGGAACACCTGGATGGGCCCCTGGAACACCTGGATGGGCCCCAGGAACACCTGGATACCCCCGGGAACACCTGGATGTGACCCCAGGAACACCTGGATGTGCCCCGGGAACACCTGGATGGGCCTCAGAACATCTGGATACCCTTGGGAACAGCTGGATACCCCCGGGAACATCTGGATGTGCTCCCAGGAACACCTGGATACCCTCAAGGATCAGGAATTGTCCCCCTGGGAACACCTGGATACCCCCGGGAACATCTGGATACCCCCAGGGATCAGGAATTGTCCCCCTGGGAACACCTGGATGTGCCCCTGGAACACCTGGATGGGGCCCAGAACATCTGGATACCCTCAGGAACACGTGGATGGGCCCCAAGGAGCGGGAATTGTCCCCCTGGGAACACCTGGATGGGCCCCGGAATTCCCAAATCCCGTTTTTCCCGCGGAATTTCACCTGACGGCGTGGGCGATGTCCCAGTTGGCCTCCAGGGTCAGGGGCCCCTCCAGCTCCACCCCCTTCTCCGTCACCACGGCAACCTCGTACTGCGGGAAAAACACGGAATAACTCAAATTCCCGCCCAGAATTCCACAGGAAAAACACGGAATAACTCAAATTCCCGCCCGGAATTCCACAGGAAAAACACGGAATAACTCAAATTCCCAGCCGGAATTCCACGGGAAAAACA